AACCCAATAACACACGTTGATCAAACTGTAGATAGAACTGGACCTCCCTTGAATTTAGACGTCAAGTTTAAACAATACTAAGTTTATTTATTATAGCTATTTAGATGGCTAGAGCACTGCGTCCTGACAAGTGTCGATTCACACCCACGTTCCAAAGCTTCACTGAGTGTGACACAGTTATCATTTAGGTAAAAAAGATGGAATTATTTTGATGAAATCACACCAGCATTTTACACTTTTGCCAATATTCTCCAGTCTGGAGATCACTGGTTGGTGATACTGGAACGGCTTTGCTGCGATTGCGGAAAGTTGTGTAGATGAATGAAGCCAGTATTGAAGTGTACACTTTCTGCCAGTGTGATTCACAACTAGTAGACACAGAAATATGTACTTTTCAACTTCATTTGTGTACTATATAAATAATTATTACCAATGTATCTTAAAAAATATCCATCGTAAGTCACTTTTTTGGTTTGTTTGACACTTTACTGGCACGCCAAAACGAATAAAATTGATATAACACCAATATTCGAAGTTTGCAACCCCAAAACCCGATACGCATAATTTTGCTAATAACCGATAGCAGCTTTTTTTTTTTTTAATATGGTTACCGTGTCCGGCATAGGACAGATCTGCGATGACCTTACAGATAAGAGACTGCATTAGGACCTGTTACAACTGTGTGCTAAAATCAAATAAAATTATTAAACATACGTATTGCATCATAATAGAACAATTGTAACAATCATATGTAATGTTTGTACATATAATAATAAGCAGATAGCCCTCGTCTAGCTTTGCGCGAAATTCAAAAAACAATCATTCGGTTGGACTATAATCGACGTATTTAAGCTGCTGAAATGTAGTGTTTTTATTATTATATGTACAAACATTAGTATACTTTTTAACGTTCTTACTTCCGATTAGATCATGCTACCTACTTTGATTAAAAATAAACCCAATAACGAATGTAACTAAGTATACTTTTTAACGTTCTTACTTCCAAATTAGAATGCATTGTTGCATATGTTGGGTACACACGCAGTTAACGACCATAAACCTAATAATATCTCACGAGATTCGATCAGTTAAGGAGATTTAGCTTTGTCCTAAATCCATTCACTAAACTAACCCAAAATATTCTCCATAATTTAAGTATAATAAAAATAAAATGATCAAAATAATAAAACTAGATGTATACTTTACTTGTGTCACGTTTAAACAGTATTTATTAGCGTCAAGTACTGATTATTGATAAATACCTGTCTACGTAACCCAAGTTATTGTATTATATTGTATAGAACACTAATTCGCTTGGAGTTCGAAAAAAACCTTATTATTATTTTGAGAATAAAAGTATTTTTGTTCCTTTCTTTGTTGCCAAAATGTCTACCCCCCCCCCCCAGTAAGCACTACAAGTTCTGAAGAACAACAAGATTAATTCACTTACTCTCCACAGTTTTATGAACAATTACACAAAATTGAATCACTTTATAAACATTCCATATTCAGCATAACGTATTTTGAAATAAGTTAAAATGTAAACAGCTAGGACAAAGTTACTAACATGAAATTTTTAAGTGATGTGCCTTTAAATAATTCCGTTTTAGTAACATGAGAACCCAATAACGAATGTAACTAACTAAGTATACTTTTTAACGTTCTTACTTCCGATTAGATCATGCTACCTACTTTGATTAAAAATGAACCCAATAACGAATGTAACTAACTAAGTATACTTTTTAACGTTCTTACTTCCGATTAGATCATGCTACCTACTTTGATTAAAAATAAACCCAATAACGAATGTAACTAAGTATACTTTTTAACGTTCTTACTTCCGATTAGATCATGCTACCTACTTTGATTAAAAATAAACCCAATAACGAATGTAACTAATTAAGAATATTGATTAAAAATAAACCCAGTAACGAATGTAACTAAGTATACTTTTTAACGTTCTTACTTCCGATTAGATCATGCTACCTACTTTGATTAAAAATAAACCCAGTAACGAATGTAACTAACTAAGTATAATTTTTAACGTTCTTACTTCCGATTAGATCATGCTACCTACTTTGATTAAAAATAAACCCAGTAACGAATGTAACTAACTAGGTATACTTTTTAACGTTCTTACTTCCGATTAGATCATGCTACCTACTTTGATTAAAAATTCTAATCGGAAGTAGATATTAATTATTCCCTTGAATATCTCAAGTTGATTTATTTCATAAATAACGATACCAGTTTGCTTAAAAAATCCTTGTCTTTTGTGCGGTCTTATCTTACCTTTGACATTTGTTACTGGCATATTTACTTGCTTAGTTACAAGATACTGAAGTATTCTATGAATATTCTCCCTAGAGGCCGCCACCGACGTTGGCGTCATATTTATTCCAGCTATACTTTCGCCACCTAGCAGAGAAAAGTGAGCTATTATAACAAATATGCCAGTATTTGTTATCTAAATAGTTTTGTACTATGTCTTAATACGTAAAAACAAAGAATAACTTCATTTGGTCTAATAATGTGTAATAGGTTGAATCACTTAGAGATTGTACAAAAATAAGCTCCCAAAACTGTTGACGTTACGTATGAAATATTTAAAAATATATGACCTGTATTTTACACTTTTATGTAAATTTCGGGTAGCAATATATTGTTAAACAAACACTTGTTTTTCAACTGCTTTAACTAATTAAATATATATATAAGTACCACAACATACGATAATAGTTTATCGTAGCTGTCCAACTTTTAATAATCTATAAAAAAAAATCAATACACTTTTGAAATGATGTAGTTTAAATATTTAACTAATTAAATTTTTACGGTAAAAAAATCTGAAATTCTTTAGTCGGGACCATTTTTTAATACTTTATAAATAGAATTCAAGTAACTCCATAAGTTGAAAAAAGGTAATCTTGCTTTCAATCATTTTGTTAGTCAAAATCACATTCGTACATCCATTATGCCTAACTATATTATTACATATTAGATGATGTGTTTAATAGAAATGAGACATATCAAATATATATTATTACATATTAGATGATGTGTTTAACAGAAATGAGACATATCAAATATATATTATTACATATTAGATGATGTGTTTAACAGAAATCAGACATATCACATATATATTATTACATATTAGATGATGTGTTTAACAGAAATCAGACATATCAAATATATATTATTACATATTAGATGATGTGTTTAACAGAAATCAGACATATCAAATATATATTGTTACATATTAGATGATGTGTTCAACAGAAATCAGACATATCAAATATATATTGTTACATATTAGATGATGTGTTCAACAGAAATCAGACATATCAAATATATATTGTTACATATTAGATGATGTGTTCAACAGAAATCAGACATATCAAATATATATTATTACATATTAGATGATGTGTTCAACAGAAATCAGACATATCAAATATATATTATTACATATTAGATGATGTATTTAACAGAAATGAGACATATCAAATAAAATGGAACTTATGAAACCTTCATTAAAGAAAATGTGTACAAATTAACGTATAGTAAAAATGTTATTAGAATCGTAGAATCTGACCGTGCAAGATTTGGCACCACAGAAACAGGCATTTAGTTTCTTTATCATGTATTAAGTTGGATAAATGTTCTTTCACAATACATTCGACCCTCGCTTTACGGAAGGGGTGAAATTCCGTAACTCGAACCATATTTTCCCATTGACCTCCATATTATGTGTAGGTGCGTTCTTATGGAAATTTTTTTTGGATCCACAAAAGTAATAAAAACACACATATTAATGCAAGAAAAGCATTTTTGAAAAGTTTTTTTTTGGTGTACAAAACTTGAAGATAGCTTTAATGTGCGGAAACATCTATTAGCCGAGTTCTTCCTCAGATCTTAAAATATAACGTTGATAAACGGAAACATGTGTAATCGATGTAGATCTTGAAAGTCGAGTTGTTCAAAACTTGAAGATAGCTTTAATATGCGGAAACATCTATTAGCCGAGTTCTTCCACAGATTTTAAAATATAACGTTGATAAACGGAAACATGTGTAATCGATGTAGATCTTGAAAGTCGAGTTGTTCAAAACTTG